TTTTACACTGCTGGTGGTGAGAATGTAAATTAGTACAACCACTATGGAAAGCAGTATGGCAATTCCTTAAAGAACTAAAACTAGATCTACCATTTGACCCAGCAATCCCACTACTGGGTATCTACCCAAAGGAAAATAAGTAACTATATGGAAAAGACACATGCACACACACGTTTATAGCAACACAATTCACAATTGCAAGGATATGGAACCAAGCTAAGTGCCCATTGACCAACCAGTGGCTAAAGAAAGTGTGATGTGGGAGGTTAAGATGGCCAAATAGGAACAGCTCCAGTCTGCAACTCCCAGTGTGAGTGATGCAGAAGATGGGTGATTTCTGCATTTGCAACTGAGGTACTGGGTTCATCTCACTGGGGCTTGTCAGACAGTAGGTGCAGCCCACGGAGCAGGACAGGGCACTGCCTCACCCGAGAAGTGCAAGGGGTTGGAGAATTCCCTTTCCTAGCCAAAGGAAGCCATGACAGACAGTATCTGGAAAATCGGGACACTCCCACCCTAATACTGTACTTTTCCAGTGGCCTTAGCAAATGGCACACCAGGAGATTATATCCTGTGCCTGGCTCAGAGGGTCCCACACCCACAGATCCTCACTCACTGCTAGCACAGCAGTCTGAGATCAAACCGCAAGGTGGCAGTGAGGCTGGGGGAGGGGAGTCCGCCATTGCTGAAGCTTGAGTAGGTAAACAAAGCGGCTGGGAAGCTCCAACTGGGTGGAGCCCACCGCAGCTCAAGGAGGCCTGTGTGTCTCTGTAGACCCCACCTCTGGGGGCAGGGCATAGCTGAACAAAAGGCAGCAGAAACTTCTGCAGACTTAAATGTCCCTGTCTGACAGCTTTGAAGAGAGTAGTGGTTCTCCCAGCATGGAGTTTGAGATCTGAGAATTGACAGACTGGCTCCTCAAGTAGGTCCCTGACCCCTAAGTAGCCTAACTGGGAGACAACTCCCAGTAGGGCGCCGATTGACACCTCATACAACCGGGTGCCCCTCTGAGATGAAGCTTCCAGAGGAAGGATCAGGCAGCAACATCTGCCATTCTGCAATATTTGCTGTACTGCAGCTTCCGCTGGTGATACCCAGGCAAACAGGGTCTGGAGTGGACCTCGAGCAAACTCCAACAGAGCTGCAGCTGAAGGTCCTGACTGTTAGAAGGAAAACTAACAAATAGAAAGGACATCCACACCAAAACCGCATCTGTATGTCACCATCATCAAAGACCAAAGGTATATAAAACCACAAAGATGGAGAGAAACCAGAGCAGAAAAGCTGAAAATTCTAAAAATCAGAGCATCTCTTCTCCTCCAAAGGAATGCAGCTCCTCACCAGCAACGGAACAAAGCTGTATGGAGAATGGCTTTGACGAGTTGAGAGAAGGCGGCTTCAGATGATCAGTAATAACAAACTTCTCCGAACCAAAAGAGGATGCTTGAACCCATCACAAAGAAACTAAAAACCTTAAAAAAGATTAGATGACTGGCTAACTAGAATAAACAGTATAGAGAAGTCCTTAAATGACCTGATGGAGCTGAAAACCATGGCACAAGAACTACGTGATGCATGCGCAAGCTTCATTAGCTGATTTGATCAAGTGGAAGAAAGGGTATCAGTGATTGAAAATCAAATGAATGAAAAGAAGTGAGAAGAGAAGTTTAGAGAAAAAAGCACATAACAACCACACACACAACAAACCAAGAGCCTC